GAACCACAGCATCCTGAGCCAGACTGCTTTGTTTAACAGGCACTTAACTGAGCTAATGGGCAGGCCCCCAGCTCAGACTCATAGTGATCCTCCTATCTCAGCCTCCCCAGCACTGGGATTACAGGCATGCTTCACCACACCTGGTTTTAATGGCTGGCATGGCTCACCAGGAACTGTGATACCGGGGATTGAACATGGGACCTGTGCTTGCCAGGCAGGAGCTTAGACTGCCGAGCTTTCTCCCCAGCCCATGGGTTGACTCTTAGTAGTCTTTCTTCCTCATTTATTTTTCCTGGTTTCACCTAAGTAGCATCTTTCTGATCTTAAAATTTTGTGTTTATTATATAATAATGACAATTTGAGACTTACCTTGTACTCACCATCATTCTTTCTGTGTTATTTCTAATGCTACTCTAATGCCTTTGAATTATCAGTCTTACAGAAGAGGGAATGAAGAATCAGGAATAATATGATCAGGATACCAAAACTGACACATAAAAGAACCAAGACTCAAACCCAAGCTTTAAAACCTGGGCCTGTCATCATCTCTGAGATCCAGTGAATGTTCCAGATCATGAGATCTATGTAAGGTAAAGGCTAAGTTTTGATGAATGTCAATTTCAGATAGCTTGTAGAAAACAGAAGCAGCTGGTTGTGGTGGTATATGCCTGTAGTCCCAGTACTCTAGGAAGCTGATGGAGGAATAGCTCAAGTTCATAGCAACTTAGACCCTATCTCAACAAAAAATTAAAAAATAAAAATAGAAAAAAGTAGGGCTGGGATATAGCTCAGTTTAAAGTCCTTTGGGTCAGTCCCCAGGACCACATAAAGCAAAAACAGCACACCACCACATCCACAGAGATGCTTTTTGATTATCGTTGTCCTTGAAATCTGTCTTGGAATAGATTTGTACGTAAATAGCTTTCCTTTCTTGTAAGATTTTATCTCAATTACAAGGTCAAGATCTCTCTAGACTTTCTTCGCCCAAGGTGTGTTGTGCCAAGTACACCGAGTTTAATCAATGCTCTTTGCATGAACACCCATTACAGCTTAATGAGTTAAAAAGAACATATTTGCTCAGTGTTATAATCTGATACAGGACATACCCTTACCAGTAGTTAAGGTCCTGGGTGTGATTTATCTGAACTATTTATTACAGCCAACCCAAGCATATAAAGTCATTATGCTGTCAGCCTCCTAGGGCAACTTCCCACAAGTTGACTTTCTTTTC